TTGTCTATACCACCAGTACAAACTTCTCTATACCACCAGTAATGACACACCACCAGCAATGCCTTGCTTGTACCACCAGTAATGCCTTTTCTTTATCACAAGTAATTCATTGCTTATACCACCAGTAATGACTTGCTTATACCACCAGTAATGACTTGCCTGTACCACCAGTAATCACTTTCCTATACCATCAGTAATGACTTGTCTATACCACCAGTAATGACTTGCCTATACCATTAGTAATGACTTGCCTGTACCACCAGTAATGACTTGTCTATACCACCAGTAATGACTTGTCTATACCACCAGTAATTACTTGCCTATACCATCAGTAATGACTTGTCTATACCACCAGTAATGACTTGTCTATACCACCAGTAATGACTTGCCTATACCATTAGTAATGACTTGCCTGTACCACCAGTAATGACTTGTCTATACCACCAGTAATGACTTGTCTAAACCACCAGCAATGACTTGCCTATACCATCAGTAATGACTTGTCTATACCATCAGTAATGACTTGTCTATACCACCAGTAATGACTTGTCTATACCATCAGTAATGACTTGCCTATACCACCAGTTATGACTTGTCTATACCACCAGTAATGCCTTGCCTATACCACCAGTAATGACTTGTCTATACCATCAGTAATGACTTGCCTATACCATCAGTAATGACTTGCCCATACCATCAGTAATGACTTGTATATACCATCAATAATGACTTGCCTATACCATCAGTAATGACTTGCCTATACCACCAGTAATGACTTGTCTATACCATCAGGAATGACTTGCCTATACCATCAGTAATGACTTGCCTATACCATCAGTAATGACTTGTATATACCATCAATAATGACTTGCCTATACCATCAGTAATGACTTGTCTATACCACCAGTAATGACTTGCCTATACCATCAGTAATGACTTGTCTATATCACCAGCAATGACTTGTTTATACCACAAGTAACGCATTGCTTAAACCACCAGTGAGGACTTGCTTATACCATCAGTAATGACTTGTCTATACCACCAGTAATGACTTGTCTATACCACCAGTAATGACTTGCTTATACCACCAGTAATGACTTGTCTTTACCTCCAGTCATGACTTGCTTATACCACCAGTAATGACTTGCCTCTACCAAAAAATATGACTTGCTTATACTGATGGGTATTGTCTTGTTTATACCAAGAGTAATGTCTTTCTTATACCACCAGAAATGACTTGCCTACACCACCAGTAATGTCTTGCCTATACCACGAGCAATAATTTGTCTATACCACAAGTAATGCATTGCTTATACCACCAGTAATGCCTTGCTTTATCCACTAGTAATGCCTTGTTTATATCACAAATAATGCATTGCTTCTACCACCAGTTATGCCTTGCCTATACCACCAGTAATGACTTGTCTATACCAAAAATTATGACTTGCTTATACTGATGGGTATTGTCTTGTTGATACCAAGAGTAATGTCTTTCTTATACCACCAGAAATGACTTGCCTACACCACCAGTAATGTCTTGCCTATACCTAGAGCAATAATTTGTCTATACCACAAGTAATGCATTGCTTATACCACCAGAAATGCCTTGCTTTATCCACTAGTAATGCTTTGTCTATATCACGAATAATGTATTGCTTCTACCACCAGTAATGTCTTGCTTATACCACCAGTAATGTCTTACTTATACAACCAGTAAGGTATGTCCTTTACCACCAGTAATAACCTGTCAATACCAACAGTAATGACTTGTCTATACCATCAATAATGAATTGCCTTTACCACCAGTAATGACTTGTCTATACCACCAGTAATGACTTGTCCATACCACCAGTAATGACGTGCTTATACCACCAGTAATAACTTGCCTATACCACCAGTAATGACTTGCCTATACCACCAGTAATGACTTGTCCATACCACCAGTAATGACTTGCTTTTACCACCAGTAATTACTTGCCTATACCACCAGTAATGACTTGCCTATACCACCAGTAATGACTTGCCTATACCACCAGTAATGACTTGTCTATACCACCAGTAATGACTTTATTTCCTATAATACCATACCAGTAATGACTTGTCTATACCACCAGTAATGACTGTGTATACCACCAGTAATGACTTGCCTTTACCACCAGTAATGATTGCTGATACCACCAAGTAATGACTTGCTTATACCACCAGTAATGACTTGCCCACATCACTAGGAATGACTTGTCTATACCATCAGTAATGTCTTGCCTATACCACTAGTTATGACTTGCTTATACCACCAGTAATGCATTGCTTATACCACCAGTAACACCTTGTCTTTATCCCAATTAATGAATTGCTTTTTACCACCAGTAATGGCTTGCTTATACCACCAGTAATGTCTTACTTATACCACCAGTAATGTATTTCCTATACCACCAGTAATGACTTGTCCATACCACCCGTAATGACGTGCCTTTACCACCAGTAATGACTTGCTTATACCACCAGTAATGTCTTACTTATACCACCAGTAATGTATTTCCTATACCACCAGTAATGACTTGTCCATACCACCCGTAATGACGTGCCTTTACCACCAGTAATGACTTGCTTATACCACCAGTAATGACTTGTCTATACCACCAGTAATGACTTGTCTATACCACAAGTAATGATTTGCTGATACCACCAGTAATGACTTGCTTATACCACCAGTAATGACTTGCCCATACCACTAGTAATGACTTGTCTATACCACCAGTAATGTCTTGCCTATACCACCAGTAATGACTTGTCTATACCATCAGTAATGACTTGCCTTATAGCACCAGTAATGACTTGCCCATACCACTAGTAATGACTTGTCTATACCACCAGTAATGACTTGCCTATACCACCAGTAATGACTTGTCTATACCACCAGTAATGACTTGTCCATACCACCCGTAATGACGTGCTTATACCACAAGTAATGACTTGCCTTTACCACCAGTAATGACTTGCTTATACTGTAATGCCTTGTCTATATCACCAGTACAGTCTTGTCTATACCACCAGTAATGACTTGTCTATACCAACAGTAATGACTTGCCTATACCACCAGTAATGACTCTCTTATACCACCAGTAATGCATTGCTTATAAAACCAGTAATGCCTTGTCAATATCACAATCAATGAATTGCTTTTACCATCATTAATGGCTTGCTAATACCACCAGTAATGACTTGTCTATACCACAAGTAATGACTTTCTTATACCACCAGTAATAACTTGCCTATACCACCAGTAATGACTTGTCTATACGACCAGTAATGACTTGCCTATACCACCAGTAATGTCTTGTCTATACCACCAGTAATGATTTGCCTATACCACCAGTAATGCCTTGTCTATACCACCAGTAATGACTTGCCTTCACCACCAGTAATGACTTGTCTATACCACCAGTTATGACTTGCCTTCACCACCAGTAATGACACACCACCAGCAATGCCTTGCTTGTACCACCAGTAATGCCTTTTCTTTATCACAAGCAATTCATTGTCTCACTTATACCACTAGTAATGTATTTCCTATACCACCAGTAATGACTTGCTTATACCACCCAGTAATGACTTGTCTATACCACCAGTAATGACTTGTCTATACCATCAGTAATGACTTGCCTATACCATCAGTAATGACTTGCCTATACCACCAGTAATGACTTGCTTTTACCACCAGTAATTACTTGCCTATACCATTTAGTAATGATTTGTCTATACCACCAGTAATGACTTGCCTATACCACCAGTAATGTCTTGCTTATACCACCAGTAATGACTTGCCTGTACCACACAGTAATGACTTGTCTATACCACCAGTAATGTCTTGTCTATACCATCAGTAATGACTTGCCTATACCACCAGTAATGACTTGTCTATACCACCAGTAATAACTTGCCTATACCACCAATAATGACTTGCCTATACCACTAGTAATGACTTGCTTATACTTCAAGTAATGACTTGCCTATACCACCAGTAATAACTTGCCTATACCACCAGTAATGACTTGCTTATACCACCAGTAATGCTTTGTCTATATCACCAGTAATGTATTGCCTATACCACAAGTAATGACTTGCCTATACCAACAGTAATAACTTGCCTATATCACCAGTAATGACTTGCTTATACCACCAGTAATGCTTTGTCTATATCACCAGTAATGACTTGCTTATACCACAAGTAATGACTTGTCTATACCATCAGTAATGACTTGTCTATACCACCAGTAATGTCTTGCTTATACCACCAGTAATGACTTGCCTGTACCACCAGTAATGACTTGCCTATACCATCAGTAATGACTTGCCTATACCACCAGTAATGACTTGCCTATACCACCAATAATGACTTGCCTATACCACCAGTAATGACTTGCTTATACCACCAGTAATGCCTTGTCTATATCACCAGTAATGTCTTGCCTATACCACAAGTAAATGACTTGTTTGTTCCACCAGTAAAGCATTGCTCATACCACCCAGTAATTTCCTTATCTTTATCACAAGTAATGCTTATAAAACCAGTTATGGCCTTGTCATATCACAATCCAATGAATTGCTTATACCCACCAGTAATGACTTGCCTATACCATCAGTAATGACTCTCTTATACCACCAGTAATGCATTGCTTATAAAACCAGTAATGCCTTGTAAATATCACAATTAATGAATTGCTTTTACCACCAGTAATGGCTTGCTTATACCACCAGTAATGACTTACTTATACCACCAGTAATGTATTTCCTATTCCTATACCTCCAGTAATGACTTGTCTATACCACATAATGCCCTGTCTATACAACTAGAAATTCCATGCTTTTGCTGGCATTTGCTGGCAGTTATGACTTGCCTATCTCTGTCTCATAATGGGCAATACAGCAAGTTCATTTTATGAATTTAGTATCGAAATGTCATGACAATGCAAAAGCAAATCAATGTAGGGATTCAAATATTTCTATATATATATTTTTATTCCATTTAATATTTTACAACAAATGGACAACAAGTATGACTTAGTGCATGACAAAAAAGCATTAATTATGAGAATATCAATCATAAAACAAAACGAAACAAAACATGGACTATTAATTATGTACAGCAAATCTTTAATAGTGATAACTCTTGAAAAACAACAGTGAAGAACAAAGGAAAAAACAACACAGAAATTTACAGATTACATGTAATTGAGAAGCAAGACAATATGCAATATCTCAAATTTCCTACTATAGAACCTGTTGAAGATATACTGATATTTTATAATGAAATTTTATCAATAATTAGAGGTGATATATATGTAAATCATGTCATTTTAATTATTTAACTTAAGTTACACACTACATTTGCAATTAAATCTTTGTGGCCAAAATATTCAAAAAAATCTACCATGTACCAGCTGAAATTAGCCAGGCCTGTCTGAACAGTACTCAATAGCTGTAAATTTCTATGAATATTTTGTGTGAGGAAATTCCTTAATCTTTTTGCCGTCAGAGGCGTAATTGTATGTTTATAGCACATTTGCCAGAGACTTTACTGACTACATTGAATAAGTGTGGTCTCAAAATAATTTACAAAATAATTTAAAACTTCAGATATTAAATCACCCTGAATTGCCTTATCATAAGAAAAAAAAATTAAATTGATATCTTAAAATATGTAGGAAGGTCAGGTCATAATGTCCCCTTCATACGAATTAACATTATATAAAGTGCCCAAAATATTGCACACAAACACATTTGAAACAGCTTACCAGGTTTAAATTTATTGTTAACTTTAAGGAATGCATTAAACAAAGATAGCACATTTGATCATAACACACTACAATAATTTTCAAAACAATTTGGGACTTGTATACAAATGTATAATATCAAACAACAACATCAACTTCTTATTTTGTTCAACAAGCTGTACAATTTAAGCTCTCTCATTTACCATTTCACTCTGGTTGAGTTATCTATTGACCTGCTGGTAGCAACTGATTCTACCCTGTGCGCAACCAGTGAAGACCAAGATTAGCGGGCAGCACATCTGTAAAGTCTAATCACGGTCTTGCACTGTTCTGCAAGTTAGTGAATAAATATTTTGAAATTTTCCTTTCTGATAGATAAAAACCCTTGGGAAGGTGGAGACTATAATAAAAGTCTTATTAGTACAGCATCAGGTATCTACGTGGTATGACCTGGTTCAAGACTGCCGGTCAACCAACTTTAAAATTGTCATTATGATATCTCAAAAATCAATAACAAACTGTTTCCAGATGTAAAATGGACAAGTCAATTTACAAAAGTTTGGCAGGTTAAAATGTAAAATTAGCAATAACATCCTATTTTAAACGAATTACATTTGTGAACACTTTAAAAGAATTCCTGGAATAATAATATTTGAATATGTTCATGACAATGGCCTCTTCAATTAATTATGGATTTAATCAAATTCAACTTTTAGAAGTGATAAATTCAGAAAATTGTAAATAATTTTATATCAAATTATTAACAATACAAAGTAAATTACTGATCGAGAAGATAAATTCAAGTGTTTTCCTGTCCGTACATGTGATTTTGACACAGGAAATCATTGAAAGATATTCATTATTATAATTAATCAATACATACATGTATATCCGTGAACAATAATGTAATTTGTTATTACATACATGTATAACAAAATATAAGTAAAATTCATTTCTTTCAATGCATAAGGCTTTGTGTGCTAACAGAAGCCTTAAGGGAAGTATTTTCTCTGATTAAAAAATTATATTAAAAGTATGATTATTGAAGCAGGAAAATGTAGAAAAATGGCAAAAATCACCTCTATATCAGCCATTTAATATCAAATGTATGTAATACATTTGTATTAAAAAATACCTATTACTTGTCACATTAAAACTGTGATGCATATTTGGTATTATAAAAACTATCGTGCCAAAATGTTTTTCTTTCTAAACATTATTATAGGATCTTAAAATCTCAAAAAGTAATCATTCTATAAAGCCTTATTTTAAATGAGTATAAGAAAGCAAGTATACAGATTTATATAATTTCCTCAACAAGTTAAATGTAAGTAATTAAGACAATACATCAAAAGTAAGTTCACTGAAACCAGAAAATCTAGAAAAATGACAAAATCATCTCTATACATGAATGAACCAAAAGTTATTGAGCATAGCCACAGGTATAGATAGTTTCCAATTTTAACAATATTTACCTCCTTTGCAAAAAGTGGCAGCCATTTTTTGGGTCAATATTCTATACCGGGTATATAATACAATGTATAGGTGACAAGATATGAGAAACAAGAGCTGTCCGTAAGACAGCGCGCTCGACTTTTTTATTGCTTGCCAATAAAAAAAGTTTTTGCAGTAAAAGGCAATACAAGAATCTCTGTATTTTTAAAGTGAACAATGGCCATGAGCATTAAGATATTTAGTGAAGAATTATTTTACTGAATTGTGTGATACCCTTGAACACTGCAGCAAAGTTTGAAATGTTTAAGTCAAAAGAGGGCTGGTAAGAAAGAAAAAAAAACTGAGTTGAGCCTTAAATAAATTTATAGGAATGAATTTTTTTAGATTTTTTAAGTTTTTTAGTGCTTGCCTATAATACAAAACATTGACAGTTAAGGGCCATAATTCAAATAAAATCTTTGACAGAATTACCTTCTCCTGGACATGTTTGGGAATCATGATTGTAAACAAGTATTCCAACTTTCAAATTAATATCTCAAACAGTTCAGTCAAAAAGTGGACTGGTACTAAAAACTTAACCAAGATTGTAAGTCGATAAAAGGCCTTAATTTTTAAAACAAATCCTTGACAGAGTTACCTTCTCTTGCGTACAGATGGGGGTAATGATGTGAAATAGCATTAAAAGTTTCAAAGCAATATCTCAAAGGGTTAAGGCAATAAGTGGATTTTACCCATATTCAATGTATTTTCTAAGTCAAAAAGGGGCATAATTCTGTCAAAAACCTTGACAGAGTTATGTCCTCTTGTCTGTTGATGAAGGTCGTGATGGTAAACAAGTATGGTCAGTTTCAAAGCAATACCTCCAATGGTTTTGAAATAAAGTGAGGTGGTACAAAAAACTTAACCAAGCTCAATACACTTTCTAAGTCAAAAAAGGGCCATAATTCTGTCAAAAACCTTGACAGAGTTATGTACTCTTGTCTGTAGATGGAGGTTATGATGGTGAACAAGTATGGTAAGTTTCAAAGCCATACTTGTAATACTTCTGAAATAAAGTGGGGTGGTACGAAAAACTTAACCAAGGTGTGACGCCAACGCCGACGCCAACGCCGGGGCGAGTAGGATAGCTCCCCTTTTCATAGAAAAGTCGAGCTAAAAATTAATATAATCAGCTCATTTGCATGAATTGTCAAACTATATTACAGATAATTATGCAGCATATTATTATAGATCTGGCAACAATATGTAAAAGATTTTTATCAGTTTTCATGAAGATGATAGAATTATGAGATTTTTTTTATCTTACATGTATCTTAAACATATATATGATATATTGGAAATGACCCCAAAAATGGCAGTCAGGGGAGGTAATAATTGCTATGTGAAAAGCATCTATTGTGTTAGGCCGGCAGTATGTAGCTCAGTTTTTGTATTTTGATACTGTTATCCCTTAAAACTTCAAATGAACTGTTCCAAACTCAAAGTAGGGCAAATCCATTACACAAATTCAGTAGGTTAAGGGTTAAATGTGTGTAAAAAAAATTTATAAAGAAATAAGAATTTCTGATAACATTAAATCTGTGAAAAAAGCACTTTTACTCCCCCATAAGACAGATAGCTTGAAAGTCAGTCCTTAATAATAACAATATGATAATGTTTCCATTTTCTTATTTTTCCTTTGGACTTAAATGTAATAACCTTATAATTAGAAGGGAGTTTTAATGACTTATGGAATAGAACACATCTTGTATAGGTGCAAATACAGTCATATGTTTTTGGGATACTTAGTATACTGACCGGTGCCTCATATTTCCATGGTACTTAACTGTTTAACACAAACAACAAATGTTAGAAGAATAAAATTCTGGAAAATATGTTGAAAAATGTAGGAAAGACATGTCAGTTACATCATAGTTTATTCCTTTTAATGTTTGCATGTAAGCAATTATGCACACAACATGGCAATTTACGCCCATTCGCTGCCCAGTTTGTAAAGTTGTGTTCTCATATTTCCAAGGCAATTACATTTTTTACAGTTTTAAAAGCAAAACTAATAGTAATCTTTACTTTTTCAATTTGTCTTTAGAGATATAAAAACAAAAAGCAAAATGGTGAAACATTTTACTTCTTTTTTTAATGTGAATAAAATAATAAGTTTTCACAGTTGTATATGTTACATTTCAATAAAAGAATACAATAAGAAAGTGAAAGTAAAACTCCTGACAGGTGTATGAAGTTTATGAGGCACTTGAGACTGCTTCTACCCAATACCTTGGAAATATGGGTACCACGGAAATATGAGGCACCAGTATACAACTACATGTAAGTTACATGTATCACTTCACAAAGCACTCCATGTAATCTAATATTTAGCAGAAAATGAAAGAATTTCATAAAAAAAAAAAGCACTGTATAAATGTATCCCTTTTAAACAAGATTTTGTTTTGGTTTATTTACAAGTACACATCATGTACTCATCAATATCATGCATCAAACACTGTCATTCTTGAACCTTTGTATTCAAGACTTTGGCTAAATTTATACAATTCATCAAAATGCTTAAATTCCATTTTTCCTGACCAGGGCATCATTTCAGAATTCCCCTCATTTGCCTGTTTTGATCTGTCAGTTTTATATCTGCCCTATCAGTCTTAGTATTTATTCTGTCTAACATGGTGTTCTGTGTTTCTATTTCATCACCAAGACCCTGTGCAAGACCTTTAAGACGTTCCATTCCCTCTGACATCAAGTCTGAAAATGAATTGTAATAAAGTGATAACGAGTGATAAAGAACTTATCATTTTGAATATGTGCTATCAATTTGCATATCTCACTGTGTATTTGTATTGATATTTGCCTCATTATGTCATGTTTAACATGAAATGTGTGAAAAAAACAAAACAAACTGAATTGACATGTTTCAAGACATATGAAGACATAATTCCTTATTTCATTTTTTTTTTGAAGGGCAAAATGCAGGATCCAAACAATTTACTGAGGAGGAACTAAACCTCAAGATCTGTAAACTTCTTTTGTCAGTGCATAAACTTTTTAATTCAATCTTTCAATTCTTAATTTATAAAATTTAGACTTATCGAATATCCTACATAAAGTAAAGTCATACCTAAATTATCATTTAACAATTCTTCTTTTCTACTGTTAGTGACAGGTTTAAAATACTGAGTTTTTCCCTGAGGATTTCTGGAACCTTTCATAAACTCGTCATCTAAATCATCCTCGTAAAATCCTTTTCCATCATCTGTTTTATACCTCTGGCCTGGAGGAGGTCGGGATGCAGACTGACTATCTAATGTACTTTGTAATTTACTGGTTCCTGGCACAGACTGTCTTGGTTGAGAGTCCTTATCTTTATCGCCATTCCACCAATTTTTTATACCACCAAAAATACTTTTAATGTTTGTTAAGTGTTTCTGAGATGTTTTGAGATCTTGATTAATTATGTCCGTCTTCTTCTCAATATTGACAAGCTGTTCTCGTTGATGAAGTAATTCCTGAAAAAAGTGAAATTAGAATACATGTAAGAACAAGGCAATTATCATCTTGATGATCAACACAAATTTATGAATAACAAACTTCCATCTCCGGAATGAAATACAAACATTTACCATTCACTTACATGTACATATGACTTAACATCAACTGTCAAAAAGGGTTGACATTGTATTTAAAATTGCATGTCAAGCATGGACAGGGAGCATTAGAACCAATTAACCATTATCAGGTAAGCTAAAATATCGGAGTTCAAGTATGATACAAAGGTATTAATTGGATTAGAAGAGCAAGTATTCAATAACAAAGTACTCTGGTTGTAAATTGCATTTAGCCAACTTTGTGTGACTTTCTAATTGCACAAGAAATTTCAATTCTTATCATAGAGCATAATATATAGGTAAAAAATCCATAGTAAAATTATAAATTCTGTAGTCATATTTAGCAAATAGGTAATGGAAGAGTGACCTGTGAAAAAGTGCTTAAGCACTATCAAAAATAGCTAAAAATCAGGTCAAGACAAGCACCCTGGTGGGGGACTAGTGGGCAAAGCCCCAGGAAACTCCTGGGATTATTTTTTATTTTGAAGGTCTGAAACCTTATTCTACACATACAATTATCATTTTGTTATTTGACTTTAAAGATATACTATGCTCATCCTTGAGTAAAATATTTTAATTACAGAAATTTATTAAAATGTATGCTTAGGAAAAGTTCAGTTTCAGAAAGGGGCTATTTTTGCAAAAATGGTGACGCAATCAAAATACGGGCATGATCAATGGAGAATAGAATCATCAGCTCTGTATCACGGTTCCGAATGACTGTTTCACTCCTGTTACTAGTGTTAGTCATTGAGAGGTATTCCTATAAAGGTTTAACTTTACATATATGATATAGTCCTTTGTAACCTAGACCATGAATATATCTAGGCCAGCTCAGATAGCAAATGTTACACAAACATTTCAAATTTTATTATGATGCTTGTACATGTTTTAGTTACACCCATATTTTCATGATTGAGTATATATCAGATGCTGCTACCGATATATGCTCAAGCACCATGCTGGACTTTAGGTCAACTATATCAAAATGAAATAAAATTGAATCATTTAAAATTTAAATTTTTAAAAAAATTCTATTTCTGATTGTAGGGTTGTGTACATAAATAGAATTCTTGTATGGTGTAATTTTATGTGATGTCTGATTGTAGTGTTATATTTGCTTTTAATCATTTAATAGATTATACTATCTTACCCATATTTATATGTGCTTATAAATCTTATTTGTTTTACAGAGTCTTTCATAAATGTACATTGATCTTCTTAATACTTTTATATATTTCCTTTTATACAGATTGTTTGTTTGTATTGTTAAAGGATAGTCTGTTATGTCGGAAAATAGCTTAAATAGCTAATGTTTATATGTTTTATGTAACCGACTATAAATAAAGATTATCTTATCTTATCTTTTGTATGTATTTTTACCAATGACTCATAGTAAATTTTCCAATGACTCATAGTAAATTTTGGCATGACATAAACAAGTGAAAACAATACACATCAAAATTTAATTAGAAAATCATCAAGTGTCACATTATAAAAAATGTCACTTTACAAATTAATACTATTAGTACAGACCTATCTTATTCTTAAACTCATTTAAATTTCAGGTAAATTTTATATTTTCCTTATCGTTCTGGTAATTATTTCGTAAATTATGTGGACAATCTATGTCAAAATGCATTACCATAAAACACTATGTGGCTTAATAAACAAACAAATAAATAAATACATAAATAAATGTGTAAACCTCAGCAGTAGCGATGCCAGTCCTCTCTGAATCATCGATACTGGCAAGAGCTCGTTTCGTACTTTCTAACTGCCGATATTCGGAATCATCGATTTCCATCATCATTCTTTGAATTTGTTCTTCGTGAGAGAGCTCACTTCTCTTCGGATTATTTTTCTTTCTATAGTTATCATCATCGTCTTCATCAAATGGGTTAGAATTTGTGTGAAAAGGATTAGACATGGCTACTGATACAGAATAACACCGTGTTGTTTCGAAATCTATTACTTCCTTGTTTACATATTTATTGGATTTCAATAATGAAGAGTAGATACTGACTCAAAGGAAAATAACTACCATAAAGTAAACGCAATCACTACTGCAAATGTTTAAAAAATCAGTTTGTTTTAACACACTTCCTTGGCAACTGTCTTCAGTCTTGTTAAAGTTTAGATGTATGAATCATAAAATGCCAATTGAGAAAGGTAGATTCCTAAATATAGAAAGAAATCTACGTATATGTACTTTATGAGAGTCAAACCAACTGCTTTTATTGTTCACATTTTGTTAACTTTTTAAGGTATCCTAATGCATTGAAATTTGAAGATCTTATGATAGTAAAAACAAGTCATATCTAAAAAAAACCTTGCTTTATTTTTTAAAGAAATATATGTAATTACAACATGCAAATAATAAGTATAATGTTGTATCATTATTCTCCTAGAAATTTTGTTAATGAAGCATAAATTCCGGTTATTATTGAGAATCTAGTCATATCGTATTTATTTTATGGGAACAATATAATTTGTCACTCATAGTCCTGTTCAGGTACGTATATTAACGTTAATATACGTACCTGTCCTGTTTTATGTATATTTTTATGTATATTTTTCTGTGTTCCGGTTGTTACATGTTCACAATTTTGTATTTTATGCCACATGTTCTTATGAACCATGACAGTATTGAATAAAATCTAAATCAAAATCTAAAATCTCCAGACGACCTCTTTCATATCAATGCTGAGACCAACCTGACAGCTTTAGGGTTAAAGTCTCTGGAATAGAGGAAGGGAGGGGTGGGGGAGGGGGGCTGAGGAGAATGTGTCCATAGACTCTGCCAGTGGAGAGGTTGCAAATTGTTGCAATGACACACTAACACTGATTGTTCTTGTTCAAACTTTGAATTCGAAAATTGTTCTCCTTGTTTTTATTGTTTTAAAGGTAGTTATTCTTCTTATTCACTGCAGAATAATGCCAAATTATATAAAGCTCATAGTTTTTATTCTTGTTTGACTAGTGTCTTGTAGTTCTTCAACAAATAAAAGTATAAAATATAGTTTTACATTATACATGTATGACCATGTTTATTGTTCACTTTTTGATACTATAATTGTAATGTCTGCTATATCATAGTTACTGGACAAGCATGGGTAGAGAGATTAAACAACACAGCCGTTCTGTTTCTAAATCTATTTACCAGAGAGGTGATGTCAGGTGCATTTAGGCGGGGCTTATCAGCAAGTGGCTAATACTAGCTGACCAATAGCGAGTCAATATATAACGCTAATAAAATCAAACTTGCTTTATAAATGTTTGTGGATTAAGCACACAATTGAGAAACCATGTCTTTGTCAGTTTACATATATGAAAAAAATACCGTATACCATCAAGTCTCAATTTTTTTCATATATGTAAAAAGTGTTTGAAAAACATTTTTATCGTTGTAATAGATGTCCCATTCGTGTTTAAATATTAAATTAGTTTTGATAGAGTGTTTACAGGGGCGTATCACGTTGGGGGCGGGCAGGATCTGACCCCCAAGCGTCAGTAATAAAAGTAGCAAAAGTAAACAAAGAAGTATTTTAACTTACATACAAAATACTTAATCAGTATAACTAATTACCAAAAGACAGATGTTGCAGCAAGTTTCCCATAATTAAACATTTTTGGAAATTCAAACAGGACACGATTGAAAAAAAAAATATAAACATTACTGGGGATAATGGGCCTTTACAGCGACTCAACTAGAAATATGGATAATCTCAAGATATGTAGAAACACGTTGTTCTTTTGCTCACCCCGACACATTTTAAAATACGATTTCTAAAATATGGTCGTAATTACAGATTGCCTTTTTTTGGCACACTTTAGGAACATTTATAAAATCTTTCAAGCGTGATTGTTGTATATTGCACTGCGATTTCTGTATATTGCACGAGGAATTTTGTCACTTATCAGTACTTGCTATTTTTGCAATTTGTTATAATTACGTTTTGATGTAAAGCTTGCAATTGTTAGTGAGGTCGCACGTTGATGTTGCAGGTTGGGCTGTCTCTCAGGTTTCGTAAGTTAATGTTATATAACCTTATAACCATACTTCAAACATATTCTTTAAAACACATTTACGAAGTAAATTGGAGTATAACAATGGGCTATCTCATAACACAGAGGTTTTCAAAATAATGCTGTTTTTCACATTTCTACCATTGTTAACCGCATCTTTTTTGGGAGACGTTTGTACCGCTTTTTTATATTTTCCCTTTTTTCCCATAGCACTGTTTGTTTTCTATGAGTTAGATTCTTTGATTAATTCATGTATTCCCCATATACTGAATTACAAAAAATGTATGTAAAAATATATTTTCGGAAACGATAAAATAGACCTGAATTTATTGCATTAATATTTAAGTTTAATAGAAATCAGATACATACCAATGTACAATGTACGCACACATTTAAAGCAATTGACTTACGAAACACAAATATTTTCTTTATTTAAACAAATATTTGTCAAAATGCTGCAAACGATGAAAACTATACGTTATTCATTTGTGTGCCTGTGATGCCATTGAACCAGACAAAGACAGAAGCCTGTATAGAGAGCTGTGTTGGAAGACTGTACAAGTCAACACTGGCTTGTTTCATTCCGAAAGGTACTAGGTATAATAAATATAGAACATTGAATGAGTGCAGTAGGTTCAATACTAAATTTAAATTTGAACGAGTTGAATACAATACACAACCTAAAAACAAAAAAAAATGTTCTAAACAATTGACAATGTGCGACATCAAGCTATCTGATATTTGTTATATGTGCAGTACTAACGCTCTATGGTGATACCTAGTCTACAATTTTAAATACGATTTTGAATATGATTGACAGTCACTTATATAAACAACTGTTGTAAGTGCAGACATAATTGGTCAAGTGGCGTCAAAAATATTTGACACTTTTGGCATAGTCGATCTTTCCAGTAACAGAACGGTTGTGAACCTATCCGAAGCGAGTAACAAAATACGGAATTATTACAGTTTAAAATGGTCGCGTGACATTCACACAGTGCCGGAAGTAAGGAAATACAGATTATACAAACTAAATTTTAAAGAATATTTTGTGAAATTGACCATACATCAGTTCAGGTATGGCATATAATCGTGAAAAGTGGAGACTGGGCGATGCTAGGCTGCGTGGACGGTAGCTTGCAATTACCACTACCGTCTATGAACAGGCTCAATTAAACCGAGCCTACAACAATTTTAATTTTGCCGTGTTGGTCTTTATTTATAGGCTCTATTTTATTCAAATTATGGATTAAAACCGCCTTATTATTATACGAGCTGAAAAGATTATTTTGTGAAAACTTGTTATTATGAATATCATTTGCCATGGGGACATATGGTTCCATCGGGTCAGGTGTCTATTTTTATGTTTAATTATATGATATGTATATATGAAAATATGTAAATGCACATGTCATGATGATAAACCATTACTTACTTATTACTTTAATTACTAACTGCACTTTAATACTTTACTTTAATTTATTTTACTTTACTAAACTAAGTTAACATAGCATGATTTTACTTAACTTAACATAATCTAAACTTAACCTAACCTATACTAAACCTAAACTTGATTTAATGTAAAGTTGACTTAAACTAAACTTAACTTGAACTTGACTTGACTAAACTTAACTTTACTGAAATAACATAACTAACTTAATTTAAGGTAGTATACCCCTAATGCATTACCTCTGCTTTGAACGAGTATTCAAATAGGCTAGAATTACTGTCAACTGTTTTAAAAGTTTAAGTTCAGAAAAATGTCCATAACTCATAAACCAAACAGTAAATGTTGTTTAAATTTTGCATACATGTGACATTTAAGGCATATCACTGTCATATGTTGTCAATTGCACAGTTCCTTATAGCGCCCATTAGTGATGTCCTACCCTACCCTACCGTAAACTAAACTAAACTAAACTTAACTGATCTAAGCTGAGCTGAGTAAAATTCAGTAATCATAAACATATGTGTTTAAACGGAAAATTAAAACGGAAAATTACTTCTCATACCGAGATTATTGATTTTTTGTGATAAATTCTTATTTCTATGAACATATGTTCATAATTCACGCATTCATAAAGTTAATATAGTTATCTCGGCAGCCTATTCTTGTTAATTTTATTGAGATTTATAATGAACATATTTGGAATAACAAACCGTAAGTAAAATCATTATTCTTCTTAAATACTGAAAGTGAATTAATCTATAAAGGAAGGTATGTAATACAATAAATAATTACGTTGATAGTATTAAGTATTAGACATAACAACAAACTACGACGGAGGTTGGTGGCAAGTATATTCATATAGCAGATAATAAAGTGTTATAGACCAGAATATTGTTATTATCATATAAATGGTCATTCTAAATCACTTAGAGCTTTAGCAACATTTCTTTTTCAAGAAATTCCAAATGATACATTTTTATTGTTTTACCTATACATGTATTTGAAATACTAATGGGAAATGAGACCATTGTAGACATATCAACTTAAAAAAAGTTACTCTGGGATATTTATATGATATAATTACTGTTTACAATAACGATTTTCATTTATGGTTTTATATGGTGCTTGTTTACAAATCAACATGCAGTTTTGTTCCCGTTAAAATGTGTCCCTTTGATCGGAACTTGGGTATGCGAAGTCTACCGAAGTCACGTCATTAAGTATGTTCATTAACTCTAGTTAAAAAAATATATTTGAACCAATACATGTTTCACAACAGTTAGCGATGTTTCACAAGGATACAAAATAATAATACAATTATCACAATTAGTGTTGTTTAATTTAACTTTTAATAGAGACTTCCTTCTTGCCAAAGCGCCTGTAAAAAGAAAACATTTCACTTATACTTTTAAGCAAGCACAATGGAACGCTGAGAAGATTCTTTTAATATTTAAATGTTAAATTAAAATATAGGGACTATTATTTTGCTATGAAATTACAACTGTAAATAAGAGATCAG